ATATATATCACGAAAAATGGAGTTGCTTAATTATTTTCCAACATTTAACAACACCCCCAATTCACATACGAGTCGATGGAAAATAATTCGAAAAATCAGTAAGTAAGTAAGTATATGCCAACGGTTATCGGAGATTTTAAATTTTATATCGTTCGCAGAACGGCAGTAAAAATTTATTTCCTCGTCGCGTTAACGAGACGACTATTCGAGCGCCCGTCGTGAATAGCGGGCTTCAAAGTTGTGTTCGATGATGTAATGAATATACAGCCTAGTTCCCATCATAAATATACAACATCGACGCGGAATCCTAAAACCTTCCAACAGGAAACCGAAGGAGGACCGTGCAGGTTTCCGAGAATCCAAGGATCTTAAAAGAAAAAAAGAAACGATCAAAATTCGCGGGTTCAGGTACAGGCCATCTTTATTACTCTTTCATCTGGCCGACAGTAGCCGGAGTGATCTATTCTCAGATCGAGAATCTTTGTTGTGTAAAACGAGACTCCCAAACGGATTCTTCGTGAGCGCCGTTCCCAGCGATGCTTAGATTAGAGAAGAAAAATGAGCGGAGTGGAAGGTGCGTATCAGGGATATAGAAAATACGCAACTTTTTCAATCTCGAATTTTAAAATAGCCTCGAACTTTTGTAAAAGCGAGAGAGATACGAATACGAAGAGGATTGGATCGCGAATTGCAGAGGAAATAAGTCTTGCAAAAGAAAGAATATCGAATAAAAGCTGCAACGATTATCAATTATCTGCATGCTACTTCTTGCAACTGTTTCAGATAATTTATCGATTAAGAAAAATTATGCAACATCGATTTTTCTTTTATATTAAAAAGTAATATTATATGTGTAATATTATAAATAACTCGACTACGAGTCACTGAGTCACTTGTTATTCTAACGTACAATTAAAAGACTGGACCGACTATCACGCATTGTTCATACGTGACGTTTTCAACGACACGTCTCTCATGGCGAGTTTAGACGGTGACGTCATTGATCCTCGAGAGATTACCTCACAGAGAGGATGCCTGGTGAGACCTCCACCGATTCTCTCCTTTCATTTGTCAAGGTGTGCGAACGCATCGAAGTCTACCAACGAAATTTTATTTTAAATACAAATTTAATGTTTTTCGATTAGATTCGATTAGTGCAATCATATTTTCGTATATTTTAATTTTAGAGTAATTATTTTTTTAAAATTAATCTCTATTTATAATAACATTTACATTAATTACAATATTTATGTTATTTATATTAAATAATTACAAATAATTACATAATTACATAATTACAGAATTACATAATATTAAATAATTACAAAATACATTGCTTCAATATTTTGGTTTAATATCTTGTTTTAGAATATATCTATTGTATAATTGTGGAATGTTACGAAATTTTTAGTATTTAGAAAATATAAAGCCTAGAAAGTAGATAAAGAGAAAACTGACATATTCTTGGATACAGAATATTTATCTCCTAAGATATTTCTTATAGGCCCGTGAAAATACCTTACAGCAATTGTCGGAATATCCGAATTAACACTCGCATATTTGTAGAAAACATAGTCGTTTAATGTCAAGGTTTGAGAGTGAAAGTAATCGCTCCCAATATACTCGCCGCAAATTACACGTGAAAATACTATAATCACTTAAATAAACGCTGTTTCTTCATGTTTATTTCCCATTGAGTTATGTTGTAAAAAATTTCGACAACTCTTAAAATGCTATTCGTCAAAAGGAATACTTGTGCAAGAAGGAACTCTACAAATTTTTCAATAATGTAATATATTAATATTAATTATTTATAATTATTATTATAAGTGATAATTTTATTTTATACATATAAAAGCTTAATATTTGTTTTGTTTATTTTAAAAAGATCTAAACTTTGATAACTGCAATGATCACATATACCTATTATTATAATTAATTTATAAATAATTAAATTTCAAATTTTTCCTTTGTTAATGTGATTAAATAAATTTCTTATTATCTCAAATTATTCTAATAATTATAAGATGATACTTTTTACTCTATAATAAAATAAAAATTTTCAGGAGCTCCTTCAAACAACGTCTAACAATTCGGAATATAAAAACCAATTCGAATTATTAATATGTATTAATTTAACATTATCTATTTCCAGCGAGGTGGCACGCAAAAGAACAGGGTCTCTCTTTCTCTCAAGAAAGTACCAAAAATCATTTCCGCTCGACGACAGAGGCGCGTGTTTGATCTCTCAACGGAGAAAGGGAGAAGGGTGGAGGAGGGGAGGGGGGAGGGCGAGAATTGGTCACGTAATAAATGCGAAGAAAGAGGGCCGCGGTACCAAGGCAAATTTGACCTTCACCCGATCTACATGATTCTCCGCCCACTTTCCCTCTTTTGCTCCTTGGTGGGCCCCCGCGGGACACGTCCCGAGCGGGTTTCACGGTGCCTCTCGCGTAATAGCGCGAGCGTGGCTTCCGCTGATATCCCCCCCCCCCCCGATAACCGGACGGCTTTAATGCCACAGTCCTGCGATTACCGTCTTGACCGAGATTGCGACGGCCAACATCGAGCACATTAGTCTCCTGACTACCGATACGAACTTTTTGCAAGGGCCTCGAGTATCGTGATGAGAATCCGTGCAATAAAGTTGTCACCATGTATATATGTTTAAATGCCTAAGAGTTGCATTAATGTGAGATGAAGATGAAAGAAATGAATAAAAGAACGGACCGTTTAAATGTTAGCGATCGTTAGTGATCAATTCCTTTTGCTTTCTATTTTTGTTTATTTTTATTTTTGTGTTTACTCATGTGCATGTATGTATTGAGAATTCCAAAAATCTTTGAGCATCATACTTTCAAAGTTAATTCTTTGTCTTATCTTTTTAGTGAAAAACATTTTCTTTTTTGCATTAAAACCAATAGCATTGTAAGAGAAGATAGATGCTATTAATATGTGTGATAAATGCGTTTTAAACCATTTAAATCAAATATATGCATAAGAAGAGAAATATTTTGACAAATATATTAATTATTATTTGTTATTATTCGGCGATGTATAGATAAA